TACCCCCCTACCGGGTGCGGTACCGGCCTACCCGCTACTTGAGTGCTTTTTCCCCTGCTGCAACCCTTCAAAGCCACGGCCACAGGTAAGTACCGGCCCTGGGGCCCAATGAACGAACAAGTGCCCTGGMGGGCCACACACACGCACACTCATACCAACCAGCACTCAGGCAGGCACGGTCACACACGCAAGCCAACCAGCACTCAGACAGACATGCAGTCCAGCAAGCATACACACACATAGACTTAGCAGGCGGGGAACTCAGTAGGGCATCCAGTCTATGAGCAAAACTCAGAAATCAGCTGTGTGTTTCAGTTCGTGTTTTGACGGGTTATCACACTACCCCCCCCTCAAGAGCGAGGTCCCTTCGAGCGAGTAACTCATTCTGAGTCCTCGGCAAATGCATCGTAGGCGAGCAAGGCAAAGAGATTCCCTGAATACTCTGTTGCAGAGAGCTTTGCTGCGATCTTCGGGGTGGCGTTAGCGGCGATCTGTCGCTCATAAGCCTTAACAACGCGTGGTGCGCTGCGTAGCAGTTCCTGTTCGAAGATCCAGTAGAGATCATCTAACGGGTGATACATGAAATGAACCTGGTACTATCTGTTTCTCCCTTTACCTACATGCTGTTTATTTCTGTCTATCTCATGCCCGCCCTTGATTGCGCGAGGGATCATATCTTCACGATAATCGAATGTCTCGGCATCACGATGGAGATTTAGTTTAGATGCGTGAAACACGGGATATGTGCGCAGGTGAGCAGGCACGTCCACAACGTACGAAGGGCCAAAGTGATCTTCCCCGATTACATCCAAAACTTCCCAAGGCCCGTAGTAGAGTGGGAGGAGTTTGCGTGAGACTCCCTCCTCCTCGGAGAATTCAGACATCTTTACCCAGACATAACTTCCTACCTGAATCTCCGATGGTTTGCGCTTCTTGTTCGCATGATGGATCATGGCATGTTGTCGCTTGGTCATAGCTGCAACAACAACTTTGAGCAAGCGATCATACTTAGCCCTGAAGCCGGGCCTGTCGGGTGTTAAACCAGCTGGCTGCTCAGGGAACAAGTAGGAGAGCGGATTGCGGATCTGCCACCCGTAGTGCAACCTGTTGGGCGTCGTGGCGGTGGCAGAGTGGACGGAGTTGTTGTACAACCCCTTGACAGAATATAGCTCCTCATCCCATGTTTCCTGATCAGGAATGATCAAAGCACGAAGTAGTTGGAATACAGTTTGTTTGATCTCCTCAGCCAAACCGTTGGCTTCGGGGTGTCGGCCAGATGTCATGCACAATTTGATTCCTAGGTGGGACGTGAACTCCTTCCATTCAGCGCTAATGAAACGCGGGTCCCGATCGCTCACAAGAGTCTTCGGGGTTCCTAATTGCAGCAGGTATTTCTGCTGGAATTCGCGAATCACTAGATCTGTTGGGGCGTGAGGCGGTAGAGGGATCAGATTAAGAAACTTTGAAAATCGGTCAACAATCACCATGACTTGTGAAAACCCATTCTTGCTTACCTTACCCATGTCAGTGAAATCGATCGAGACAGACTCCCCGGGACCATCAGGAATGGGTAGGGGTGTGAGTAGCCCCATGGGCTTTTGTCTGCATGGTTTGATTCGTTGACAGACTTGACATTCAACTATAAATTTCTCTGTAGTCCATTTCATGCCAGGCCAATCAAACTGTCTCAGCAGGTTGGCGTACATTTTCGCCATGCCGAAGTGCCCGCTCCAGCCATGAGCCAAGTCCAGAAAGTGCGTGCGGAGAGGCTCGTGGTTGGGCACACACAAACGGTCATGGTTCCCGTATCGGCGAAAAATCAGTCCTCCATACTCGTGGAAATCAGACTGACTACTAGGATCAACCCGCAGCTGTTCAAGGATGGAACTGAGTTCCGGGTCCTTGGTTGTCTGCTCTACGAGGTCCTCCTTCAATTTCTTCCGGAGGTCGTAGGATTTCACAAGGCAAGTCATGTACTCAGGGTGGCGGAACAGAGCGTCAGCGACTCGATTGTAACAACCCTTTTTATGTCTCAATTCAAAATCAAAGATATCAATCTCATGAAACCAGCGAAGCAAGGTAGGGGACTGAGTAGTCTGCATTTTGATCCACTTCAAGGTCTCATGATCCGAGAACATTTTGAAGTGGCGTCCCAATAGGTAATGTTTCCAGTAATCCAATGCCATACGCAAAGCGTAGAGCTCGCGCATGTAAGTGGAAGTGGCCACCTTTACGCTGGGCATTCGTTTGCTGTAGTACTCGAGTGGCCGCAAGCCATCGCCGTCATCTTGTTGCAGCATTGCACCGATTCCATACTGACTTGCATCCGTAGTGACTACGAATGTCAGTTTGGGATCTGCAATGCGGAGTACCGGGTAACTTACCAAGGCTTCCTTGAGAGTTTGAAAAGCTTCCGAACACGCGGCATCCCAGGAATAAGACACTTTCTTACTGGTTAGTTGTGACAATGGACGAGCAATGATAGAAAAACGGGGTACAAACTTCCGATAGTACGAAACGAGACCAAGAAAAGAACGCAATTCACGAATGTTCACAGGCTGAGGCCAATCGCGTATGACCTCAATCTTGGTTGCCTCAGGCTCTAGGCCTGCAGTAGACAACCGGTGCCTAAGATAGATGACGCTATCCTTCCCAAACTCGGATTTCTCCAAGTTGAGATGGAGCTGCGTCTTCTTGAGGACAACAAGCACCTCCTCAAGATGTTTGAGGTGTTCCTCCATGGACTTGCTGAAAATCAGGATATCGTCYAGGTACACTACCACGAACCGGCCAATCTGTTCGCGGAGGACCTTGTCCATAAGGCTTTGGAACGTGGCTGGTGCGTTCGTAAGATCGAAGGGCATTACGGTAAACTCATAAAGCCCATCGTGCGTTTTGAACGCGGTCTTGTGCTGGTCCACAGGATCAACTTCAATCTGGTGGTAACCAGACTTGAGGTCGATCTTGGAGAAGACCTTGCACCCGCCTGCAGCATCAAGCAAGTCATCTATACGAGGCAATGGGTAAGCATTCTTTCTTGTAATGCGGTTTATACCGCGATAGTCAATACACATGCGGAGTTTGCCTCCTTTCTTTGGCACAAACAACACAGGAGCACCGAATTCAGATTCGCTTGGTTTGATCCACCCTTTGTCAATCATCTCATCGATCTGCCACCGGAGTTCCTCCAACTCGCTGGGTCCCATACGGTACATACATCCCTTTGGAGGAACAACACCGTCGACCAACTCGATGGTGT